GCGCTTTTTTAAAGTCTGTTGTCTGCGCAGATTGTGGTGCTCAAATTTGAGAAAACTACTAGACTGCAGTGGTGTATGTAGAACGTTGAGAAATGGCTGATCGTGGTCGGGTGTGGGTGTGAGTATGGGTGAAAACAAGACTTCTATCCACACCAACCCGCAGACAACCCATACCCACACCCATATGAAGGATTTTTCAGCACTGTTCATGTAAAGTGTTGTAAAGTTCTTAGAAGTAAGAAAGATTACAGCACCTAAAAGTGCTTTTTATCATAAGCGTCTGAAAGTGCTTAAAGGAATAAAAATCTACAGCACTTTTCAGCGCTTTTCGTGATAAGTGCTGGAAAGCGCTTGAAAAGAGCTTACAAAGGCAAAAATTTTCACATGGGACGTATATTTCTGGTGTGGTGAAAGTAAAGGAAAAGTTCAACGGATCAAGTTGAAATTTTGTACGATGGCTAATGGTATATAGCTGAGTATTTGCTGAAAGTTTCAGATAAATCTGCCTTCATCTTCTTGTGGGGCCAAAATCCACGTAAAACGTCTCCCGTTCTTTGTGTAATTTTGTGAAACACGATCTGAAAGGAGTGTTGAAGTGTTTAGGGGCAGAAATTTGCACCCCTCCCCCAGACCGTGACAGAAAAATTCCATACCCATCACAGACCGTGACAGAGATACCCCAATACCCATCACAGACTGTAACAGACCCGCCCGGAACCCATCAAAGACCCAGACAGACAGGCCCGGGACCCATCACGGACCGTTACAGACAGGCCCGGAACCCATCACAGACCATGATAGAGGAACTGTGGTTCTAAAGCATTAGATAAACGGTTAGCTACAAATGTATCGAACGAAATGGAACAAAACGATTTCCATTTAACTAGTAACAATAGATTCATCGTCTTTCACACTTTTAATCCCACAAGGGATTGCGCTAACAGCTTTTTTCAAATGCAAATCTGCAAAGTATGGTCTTGTAACTTTAAAAGAAAGTCGATAAGTTCTCTCCAATCATGCAGAAAAAGACTCGTTCAAATTGGAAATGTTAACCATTTAACTAATTTTCTAAATATTTAAATTTCAATATAGATATGTTTTGTGCTGATCCCATACAAGAAGATGATCATCGATGTCAAAAAAAGCGCGTGGTGATGGTGCTGGTGCAATAATAACGACAATTCATGTCCACACCCTTATTTTATTTGGGTGTTCAATTTGGAATATATCGGTACTACTGAAGACAATAATCTAATATGTGTGATGAAGAGAATAATATATACTAATCGAGTAACTGCTTCTCTAATTATTCATCATTAGGCAACTTTCGATAGATGAATATTATACTTAGTCTTGTTAATAATATTTAATATTGACGTGTCGCAGTCGCAGATATTAGTAGTTTTTATTGAAATTAGTTTTATATCATCTCAGTTGAAGAAATTTTCTAAAAAGAAATTTACGAGGGCCATTGAGATGAATGTTTACCGAGAGCATCATCAGATACATTGAGTTCATCTCTTTGGAAAATATTATCAATATGTTCAACAAAGCGTTTCAATTTTCCCGGATATCCACAACGGCCAACTGAAATACGTAAACAACAATGATAAGCATAACATATTTCGAAATGTTCATTTAGTTGTTCAATTGATATATCATCCGGCGATGAAACCCAATACGGTACCAATGGCCATGCCAAATAATCACTTGAAATTACTTCCATTTGTCTTAATTCATCAATGAATTTTCCTGTAATTAATTCTCGTACTTTATTGCTATATACTGCATTGTTACTTTTCAAATATGGATTATCCATCACAAAACAATCTAATGAATGACCTTGTCTTTTAAGTAATGCCCACAATTTCGGTAATAATATTTGTCCATGATGCTCCATAGTTAATATCAGAATAGTGCCAATAAGATCTTCTGTAAATGAATATCGTATAGGACCTCTTAAATTTTCAACAATATATTGGTGTGTATATGGATAATCAATAGCCGAATGTAAGTCATGTTGAATTGGACATCGCCAAAAGTACCATCTAGAAGAATTAACAAGATCTTCTACGCCATGTGCAAGACCTGTATTTGCCATATTAATATTAATATATATTTGAGCTAAGATTCCGACAGGAAAATTTGCACCAACTGTTAATTTTTTACATAATAAGCCATGTTTTGCTAAAAATGTCTTATTTACCAATCCAATTGCTCCTGTTGTTGTAAAACGTTTAGTATAAATAGCAATATCAACATCACTAAAAGTTTGTCCATCTTGACATGCATCAACAATTGTAACAATAGTTGAAAATCGTTTACTAAGTTCTGAATGAATAAAATCAACATCTATTCGATGACCAAACCGATTTTTTGAGGTAAGAAGAATAATTATAATGGAATTGTTTTCATTTTTTTGTTGATCATAAATATTTAAACAACGTTGTTTAAGATTATCTAAAATCCATTTTTTATTATGTTGATCAGGATAGCTCATATCAGATCCATTAAATTTCTCAGCAAATATTTCTCGAGCTGAGCTTACAAATGGTATATAATCAGATGAACTACTATTAATAAACCATGTATTTTTACGATCCTTAAAAAAGAAATATTGTAAACATTTATCTAGAATTGTATTTGAACTAGTACATGGAAATATTTCATAATCAGGCCAATATAATCTACTTTCTTGATGTAATAGTGTTGTAAGAGCGTCAAATAATGCACTACGATTTTCTTTATAAATAGGCCATAATGTATCATAATAAATACTCATTAATGCTGAAAATTCTGTAACTTTTTTTAAATGTAGTTGGCGAGCAGCTCCACCAAAAAACATTCCTTCATTTGCTCGATTATTCCAGTTCCATAAATGCTCAATTTCATCAAGCCTACTATTTCTTGGTTTCTCTTTAAACCGATCAACAAAACATTGAACAGTTTCATTTTGCCATTGAACATAAGCAATAATTGTATTGAGATAATTTGTTGGTTTAATCATTGAATGCATTTTTAATTTAAAAAAACGTTCTAATAAATGTGTACCTTCAATAACAGTCTCTGGTGAATTAGAATACAATTCAATTATACGCCATATATGACTCACAGTCTGTATGAAGGAGAAAAAAGAATTTTCATTGTGAAATTTTTGTCTCTCATCCAAAGCATACTTACAAGAGAAGGTTCACACAATTGATTGTTCATCAAATCATCGCTTAATGATTTTACTATATTTTGAATATTGAATAACTCTCGAATCAAAGAAACTTGATGCATACAATCATATTCTGAAGTCTCATCATTTAATCTTAATCTAATTCGAGTTTTCAAATTGTTTAGTTTTACTACAATCTCTTTGATTTCTTCTTCTACGATATAGAAACTGTCTATTTCCATTACTTCGAACATTCCTCAAAAATCGATTATTCTCTTTTGACGAAAATTCAAGTTTTATCATACTCAGTCGGAGAATTCTTAGTAAGTCTCTCTATCCCGGTTTTTTCTCTTCTAAAATTTTCTCATGTTGTTCATTGCTTATATACAATATTAATTATTTTCCAAGTAGGAAGTACTTTCTCCTCAATGGCGTACTACAAACGAATGAGTCGTCATTTCTTGCAAAGAAACAAAACTATGCGTCATTTAAATGACGAACGTCCGACGCCTGAAATGACTCAGCTTACGTCATGATCGACAATAAGGTGCCTATGTCACTTTCTTTTCTTTTTCCAATATCAGAATAATGTTGCAGCTTAACGTTCTCTTAAACAATACGACATGTAAAAAGCAGTTTAATATCGATTGAAAGTTTACCTATCGAAGATTTTAAAAGAATAATGTAATAAATGATGCGAAGAAATTTTGTTGTCGTTCAAATATATAAATTATATCACGTATTGAAAAGATTAAAATTCGTGAATTCCTCTACCATCGTAGCAGAATCGAATTTTGTTAGGGAGTCAAGCGTTTTCTCCAAGTTGGCATAGTTGTATTTGTTTCTCTTCTGGGCTTCATGCACAGAGCAATGCTACACACATCATGTGTCAATGCACCTCTACCTCAACGTCCATCCAACGACGTCTATAAATGATAAATATATATTTGTACTTGACAAGCCTGATTCATAACGCTTCGTTGCATATTAGGGACGATTAAGATGCATTTTTATTCGAGACCTTCAGTTTTTGTTGGAAGCAAGAAAGTGTTAAGAAACATTTGTATCTTCACTTTAAAGGCTACTGCTACATACAACTATTATTTAAAACAATATGGCTTGTACAATAAAAATATAGTTTTACTGACTGATTCCTTTTCTTGGCTCTCTGCTGTAGAGAACGTCTTATTTCAACATTTAATAGAAACAATATGGTAATTAAAATCATGAATTTTGTTCGGGGTACTAATATCGTTCAGCTATTTTTCCAGTATGTTCTAGCATGTTACATATTAGTTATTTTCCAGGATATTATTTTACAGCATATTTTTGTGTATTTTTCAATTTCTGGTGCATATCTCTCGGATATGTTTCCTCTCTTTCAGTGCTATTAGCCATACTTGTTTGTGTATGTATAGTTTGACTTGTTACATATGCTGAAATCGTGTTTGCAAAATACACAAATTACAGTAGTGACGAGTTTTCATTTCTACATAACACGTCATTTTATTGTGACTAATGTTAATAACTGTTTCATGCCTCAGTGAATTGACATATTACTGCTATTCCAAACAAAATGAAAAAGAGAAAAAAAGCACGCAAACAAAAAAAGTAAACCGTATACATATCGTCGAAAATATTGTATCTCTCTTGCATATAGTAACAAAAAAATATATTTCTTTGCTTCTAGTAGGATGACTCGAAAAATAAGAACGGTAAATAGAGGAAAACAGAACTAAAGATGTATTAGGGCCAATGACCATGACAAATAAGAGTTATTTTTTTATCTATCTTCAATGCACACGATGGCCAAATGAGTAAAAAAATTATGTGCATGAAGCCATTTTTCATATTGCTAGTATTAAAACGACGTTTGAAGTTTTAAACAATGTAGAAACATCGGATTTAAATCCGAGTGTTATGTGTACTTCAAAAAGTGAATTGGACAGATGAGTCATCCTAGCACGTGTAGGCATCAAAATTATCCTAGCGAGCCCCTTCTATTAAAACTTGATTTGTATCGGTTACTGCTCAACCAATCGGGTTTTGAAGCAAATATAGCTCAGATTTAAACTCTTCGTCCTGAATTACCCTCAGAAAGTCGTTTTTCCTAAAAACTTGATTTCTATTGGTTACTACTCAACCAATAGGCTTTCGAGGAAAGTCGAGCTCAGATTCGAGTTCTCCGCCCTAGAAAACCTCGAAATATCATCTCTGTGATCGGAAGATGGAGCTTTACGTTTCAATGAATCGGAGCGTGGACAAAAAACAGAACCAATTTCCATTTAAGTAATCTTTGTAATAGGTGACTTAGCCTTCTTGTTTCTTAATGTTTTATATACCATTTTGTAGCTCGTGAAATTCTCTATCGATTGTTTTATAATAGTTAGAGTTTTGTTTGATTATGAGAGAAAAGATTTTATACGAAAAGCGGGATAGGTCAATGTTCGCATAGAAAAGCATAGGGAATAATGACTCTGTTCCCGATGACTCAGCAATGGATCGACGAATCACTCTCATCTTCGAACTCGACCGAGATATTGATGAAACGCAACTTTGTAGAAAATTTCACCGCGATCGGACTCTCCTTTCGAAAGTTATGGTGTAAACGACCGGCCGGCCAGATGGACGAACGCATTGATCGATTCTATAGTGTACTCACTTTTTGAGTACACAAAAAAAGAATTAAAATNTTTTTCTAATCTCATTGAACTCTACTTATCGGCAAAATATCGGCTTAAAAGCTTTGAATCACTTCGAACGGTTCCCTTGTGAGTATCTCTTTTTTTTACGATTTTTTTTTGCTGTATTTTAGTCTTATATTATCTAGTGAAGTGAAATCTCGATATATTTAATTGATTTGTATTTTATATGGTTAGCTTGTTTATTGATAATTTTGGATATGTAGATTAAAATTTGATAAAGTTCTTCTTTTTTCTTTCATTTTTGTCAAGTTACCTATTAATAATGACCTAAAAATAGTTTTTGTTTTCATTTAAAATATTCTTCATCCTCCTTTATTTGCAGTCAAAAAATAAACAAATCTTATATTCGTTCTTTCATTGGACTCTTCTGGTCCAGTCCTATTTCTCTTTAAGAAAAAAAAAGAAAGAATATTTGATAAAAAATACCTATATTATCAAATATATAAAAATGAATCATTAAGAAAAAAAGTTTTGTTTTTTAACTCTGCTTTATTTTTATTAGATGCAATTTGTATGCAGTACATATATATGAATCGGTTCATTTGAGCGAAGAAATAAATAGACGTTGCATTCATTTTTTTTTCTTTCCTTCGTTCTTTCTTGTTTGTCTTTTCTGTCTGTTGTTACATCTGTTCATAATAGTTACAGTTTAATCTCTTCGAAGTAATATCATTATTCTTTAGTTGATCGAATAACAATGTACACACGTACATATCTATATCTATATAGTTATTCTTCAGTCCAAGTATTGTGTTTCATTGAATGAGTCATCAAATTCTATTTGTTTGTCTTTTGATGAATCATCAGAATAGTATTCGATCAGTGCATATTTTTATTATTAACCATTTCATATTCTAGATTAAAAAAGAAATGGATGATCCATCAATAGATGTAAATCCAATTACGCCTTCGGGAACTACTAATACACCATCAACAGCAAATGTAGCTTTAGCTGATTTAGATACATTTGTTAATTATTTAAAACGTGTTTGTGCACCAATACTTGATTCATCACTTGAAAATACAAATGATATTGAACGACTTTTTACGGATCGTTCATCAATTGATTGTATTAAAAAATTTATAAGTGATGCTCAATGTCAAACAATACTTATTTCAAAAACAATAACACCTAAAGAAGATCCATCATCAAATGAAACTGATCCAACAACAGCCAATGCATCTGGTGATACATCAATAATAAATTCATCCCCATCATCATCATCAAAACCAGATGGATTTTATACAATATCAACTGAAGTTCATTATATTAATCCAAAAATGCTTTCACTTGTTATACTCAAACGTGGACAATTAATTGAAGGTGATAAAAAGTTTCATACACAATTACGTATTATTAATTTAGTTGATTCAAGTCCATATGAAACATTACATGCATATATATCACATGTTATTGGTCCTTATTTTAAATCATATGTTCGAGAATCAGGCAAAAGTGAACGGTAAGTTTTAGTTGTTTGTTTGTCTTTTCTTGTTTTTTTTTTTTTTGCAAAAAAAACTTCATTTATTTATTTTTTGCTCGTAAAGTGATGGTGATAAAATGGCACCAACAATGGAAAAGAAAATAACTGAATTAGAAATGGGTTTACTTCATTTACAACAAAATATTGAAATACCAGAAGTTAATCTTGCTATACATTCAATTGTTAGTCAAGTTGCACAAAAATGTCTTGCTGAAAATCGTCGTGCTAAAGTTGATGATTTTAGTGAATATTTAGATAATACAGAATTTCTTAATTCACTTCAATCACATGTTAATCGTTGGGTTAGAGAAATTCAACGTGTAACTAAACTTCATGAAGATGCAATGAAGGGTTCAACACGACAAGAAATATCATTTTGGCTTAATCTTGAACGTGCCTTAACACGTATACAAGAAAAATGTGAATCAGTTGAAGTACAATTAACATTTGATATACTGAAAACAGCTAAACGTTTTCATGCAACTGTTGGTTTTTATAATGATACAGGTTTAAAATCAGCTATGGATACAGTTAAAGATCATTCAGTGTTAATGAAAGATTTTCCAATTAATGATCTTTTATCAGCAAATGAATTAGATAAAATTCGTACAGCATTAACAACAATATTTCAACATTTAAAAAAACTTCGTAGTACACGTTATCCAGT